AGAACGTCACTTTTTCACATTATTCTTTTGTCAAACACATAGCATGCATCAAAGTAATTGCAATCGATTCAAAGCTAATTTTCCATATCTAGTAATCCTCATATAATTTTCGAAACATCTTATCATTCAAATGAAGCTTACACTAAAATCTACTCAAAACACAAATAACTTCAACAATGCTAATGCACAATTGATGTGCTGGATTCAATAAAATTCATGTTTATGGAATCCAAATTCACTTTCTTGTTTAAAATATTTCTGGATTTAAACTTACAATTCTCTTTCCTTGATTTTCTGGAGAGTTTGCGTCGAATAAAGAGATAGGAGGCCGACTCCTCCCTCCCAGAATTGCGTTATTTGTGGAAGAGTCGAAGATTTCTTCTTCTTCCTTTCAGTTTTCCTTCGACTTTTGCATATGGAGCTGGTTTCTGTTGTGAGTTTTGGGGTGTGAGTTTTTGAGCCGTATTTTTTACGGTAAATTATATATAATTACCACTTGTTCCAAGTTTATCATGATTTTTCAAAATTGCCCCAAAATATAGGGTATTTCTGTAATTGCCCCAAAAAAGAAGTGGCGTCTAGGTGCTAAAAAATCTGGGACCTTTTTGCTATTTGTCCGAACTCTAGGGACTAAAGCTACAATTTCTAAATAAGGTTTTCTTTTTCTTGGTATTTCGAGGACAAAATCAAGAGCACAACAAGGAAAATAAATCAAATAAAATGTGGAAAAGAATTGAGGAAATCAAGATTCAAACAAATCCAACAAAAAATGGTTTTATCTTTAATCTTATATTTTCTTTATTATTTTCTATCATTTATGTTGTATTTGATAAATATTCTTCTTTGTTATCATTTATATAACATGAGCTAAATTTTATTGTTGGGATTTATGATTGAAACTTAACTTAGCTTTGATTAATTTCAACAATTGTTTTTTAATGTTTATTTACATATGTATTTATTATTGTATTTCTTACATTTTCATTTATGTGACCAATAAATGATTATGTTTAGTAATTTATATATCGTTTGAGTGAAGATTATACATGTTAGATCAAATAGTAAAAACCTTATGTTTGTCTATGGGATAGAGATATATCCCTAACTCTAGATGATCCATTGAGTTATTTTCACAAACATTTAATGTGGTTATTTGGTTTGAATCAAAATAGAGATATAATATGTTAAACCTATCAATTAGAGTTAAATTCGCTCGAGAGAGGTAATTAGCTAAACTTGAAAAATCGGGTGTAATATCATAAACGAGTAATTTATTAATTGACTTTTAGAGAAATTAATTTAGTGATGGTTAAGCGAAATCATGAATTTCAACCACGTTTTCCTCCAAAAATCTTAAGTGTGTATGTTTTCTTATTTTGTAGAGTTTTAGTTTATATTTTCTTATTTTCTAAAATCTAATCTTATTGTGTGTTTATTTTTATTGTTAAAATTAAATTGATTAAAATTGTATAATCGAAAGTAAACATTCCTCGAGTGATCGACAACTCGGACTCAAAAAGTCCACTTTATTACTTGAATGCGACCTGTGCACTTGCGGTTTGCACTTTTATAGTGAATACTGAACAAGAAAATATTTTTTATATCAGTCATTTCAAATCAGTAAGTATAGTTACATATGTTTAATTTCGTTTTCGTTAAAATAATATACATTTTTAATCGATAAATCTTATTTTGACATAGATTAACATGAAGATAAAATTTTTTTAACAGATCTATAATCTTTTAAATATAAATGAGAAAAAAATTCATTTGCATCTATATTTTTCAGACGAGATTCATGGAAATGTTAATTTTCTGCCAACCTTAACAGGCAGCTCTTAATAGCCTAGGCAACTGGCCGTTATCAGTCTGCCCTACTTTTTTTTGAATAAATTTTCGTTGCTCAGTGGTTGGACCAATTTTTTGATCATTTTTTCTTATAATTAAAAATTATGTTTCGTGATGCAGATATGGTTATAATCTCGATTTATTACTTTGGTATTAGGACCCACGAACGATCTACAGACCTTCGGACATTATTAACGATGCCCATCGAGAGTACAGAGTGGTTATGAGCGTCGGGTCTGGAAGGCCAAATAATGAGCATTAGAGGATTTAATGGGCTCAATCGAAGAGGACTACGCTAAATTGGTCAGGTATTGCCATAACATGGGGACAACTAATTCTGGCTCGACATTTTTTATTGAGATGAAGGGCAAGAATAGCTTTAAATTTTTCTTCATGCTCTTGGACAATGCATTTGGGAATTTCGAAATGCGATGTGACCCCTAATTTTAGTCGATGGTACAACTTTGAAAGCTATATACGAAGACAATTTGATTATTGATGCATATCAAGATGCCAACATCCAAACTTACCCTCTTGCATTCAGCATAGTCAATATCGAGAATGATCTATCGATGCGTTGATTCTTCACAAAACTGAGGGAAGTAATAGGGAAAGTTGAGGATCTTGTCTTTGTAATTGATCGAGGACTGTCTATAATAAATTGTATCACTAAAATTTTTTTTAAGACACATCATAGATATTTCATGTACCATATACAAGCAACCTGAAGCTAGGTATCAAGGCAAATGCATTGTTTCA